GATAGACTCAACACTGTGGTTTATAATGAAGAATGTAATCACTGGGAAGAAAAAGTATTTAAGACAAAAAGCAAGATTGTTTAAAGCAAAGGCCTCAAAATGAAATATTGAATGAGGACTTGTAGAGCACATRGGCCAAGGCAGGAAGAGGAGAGTGGTGCACCCCTGCAGTTTGGCCATTTTTTGGAACATGAGTTACTCCCAAGAAGGGAAAAACCTAAATAGTATAGAACTGCATAATTATATTTATACAATCTATCTGTAATATCCCATGACTACTGTGGTTGCACTTACATGTAAATATCATGTCTGTAGAATAATGGGAACATGTGTACCTCTGAACACTGGCCCACTGGAATTTTCATCCGAGAGAAAGGGAAACTGTTTCTGTTCATTTCCTGTGAGCCTTTGACCTTTATTATTTTTCATATTGCTCTGAGTGTATCTATTAATATATTGCAGAGAGAAAAACCAGAAAACTCGAGCAAGGGTTTCTGATGCTCTTGTGCAATTTTTACAGTTAACCTGTTCATAACCACAGAATGGTTTGGTTGAAAAGGAACTTAGAGAAAATCTTCTTCCAAGCCCCCTGCTARGAGCAGGGACACTTTAGACAMGACCWGGTTGCTCAAAGTSSAGTCCAACCTGGCCCTTGTGYTCTCTTGTTTTAGCAATCCTCATATTATCATATCACATCTCAGAAAATAATAAAATTCAAATAGCTGAGAGGAAAGGTTATAGGTTATCTTTGCCCAAAAATTCTGCACCAGCATTCCCAAGTTTAAAAGGATGCTTATGCAGGACTTGTGGATTGGAAAGCACAGAGCCTGAGGTTCAAAATATATTTTCAGGCTCTGCACTTTCTTGAGCCAACCACTTTCAGTTTTCCCTCACTGTCTTCACTACAAAATTCAGATTATTCCCTAGCTCACATGGGGATTTGAGTCCGTGTAATGAATATTACCGTGATGGTCACAATGAACAGAGTTCTAAGCACAGTCTGTTGTGACTGGAATTTTAAGCACATGTAGGCTTTTGACATGCAGAATCCCACGGATTTCAGTAGGAATGGGGTGTGATAGCTCCTTTGAGAGTCAGGCTATACATTTAGGTGTTTCATTCCAGACCCAGAAGCATAACCTGTTAAGAGAATTGCTGATGCTAATCCCATTTACTTGATGTTCCATGACTTGATAAAKCCTCAAAAAGTGCCTTCTACATTTTAAGCAGAGCATTAACACCACTGAGAGTAGACTGCTTTGAGCATCTGCTGCCACAGAGCCCTCACTAACTTCTTCCCATCTTTCCATCAGGCATCAGACTGCTATAATTTAGGGACTATTGGCTCTCTGTCAGAGGAGAGTCTTGCTGTTCTYAGACCTCGTAAAAGGAAACAAAAATGTGCCTGAAATATTGCAATGTTTGTGGCAACACTTGAGGGCATAAATAAGCTTTTTGGTTTTTAATTTTGAAATTCTTTAAGGTAAAGTGTGTGGAATTGTAAGTATGGTAGTAATATATGTAATTTACTTCTAGCAAGTGGAAGTTCATAATCCTGAACCTCTAGAAGCGTAAACAATTAATTACTTCCAAGGTCACCCTTACCAGACTGAAGTAATTCTATTGATCATAAAACGGAGCTGAAAGGGCATAAAGAATGCTGCAGGTTTTATTATTCTTTATTCTTTTATTACTGTTGCATAGTAATAAATGAGGACAGGAACACARAGATCGGAGAGACTCCTATTTGATAATTAAGGTGCTTAGGACTCACTGCCACCTCCTGTTTGCCTCTTTAGCCCACCACTTCAACCCTGCTGAAAGGAGCCCGTGAAAGCTCCTTCCTGCAGAGCATCTCATCCTGCCCAAAATCCATGGGATGACTTGCACTGCAGAGGACTTTTGGCTTGGATAAAAGAACGCAGCAGCAGCAGCAGGATTCTGCAGTTTTCAGACACTAAACTGCAGAACAACTTTTTGAGTTTGTGTATCAAACCACATGCACTGACTCGGTGTGATAAAACTTGTGTTTCCATGTGCCAGCCACAAGTGTTGTTTAAAGCATTCAGCAGTGTCAAGGTGCAAAGTTAGGGATGACAGCATCTGTTGTCCTGTTTTCTTACAGTCTGTGAGATTTTACAGCATCACAGACCTCAAAGGAGACACAATGCTCCCAGTTCAGCATATCCTGATGTTTTACTAACATTAAAATGCATATCAACTTTCATAAGCTTACAAAGCTATGGTAGGAAAAAAACCACAATTTTCTAAAACCTCGATACTCTTTCCCTATGAATCTTAAGTGCACATCATGCCCTGCCTGCATAGCTKTAGCCTGCAGCTCAACTTCATGGCTTGGGGAGGGTTTAGTTTTGTTTAAAAATCAAATAAACTGTTCTTCTGTAAATAACATTGGTATCCACAACCAAAGAGCAAAAATGCTCAAAAATCTCTAGGGCACAAGCTAATTATAAATATCGTATTTGTCCTTGTCAGGGATTGTTATTAATATTTGTTTAACTGTTTGGGAGTCCCCAGCTGCAACYAGCTAGAAATAAATCTAAGGGAAGAGGGGAGTTATTGTATGGATACCTTAAGGGTTACATTAAGGGAAACATTTTCCATAAATGCTTTCCTTTGGAAGCAACCATAGTAAACTATCAGGGAGCTCCCTGTCTTTCCCTCTCTCTCTCACACACACACACACACACAAGCACGCACATCCTTTCTGAAAAAAAAAACACAGCAAGAGGACTCGTACCTAACATTTTCACAGTTTGCTTGTTGTTCTTATCCCTGATGGCAGTGTTTGGACCGATGTTCTTTCTCTTCCTCCTCCAGAGCTTCCTCCCGATGAGGCTGTACAGCACGGTCAGGCAGAACACGGGCAGGAAGAAGAAAATGCTGGAGGTCCAGACCATGATGGTGAGGAGCCCCGAGCGGATGGCGTACTCGGTGGCTCTGCACTCGTTGGTGCTCAGGGGGTTGGTGCCGTTCTCRTGCTCGACCCCCACCAGGATGAAGATGGGTCCGGCGCTGATGAAGGAGATGGCCCAGAGGAAGAGGATGACCAGCTTGACCTTCCCCTTGGTGATGATGACTTTAGCTCGCAGGGGGAAGCAGATGGCGACGTACCGCTCCACGCTGAGCGCCGTGATGTTGAGRATGGTGGAGTAGGTGCAGCTCTCGCTGATGAACTGGAAGAGCTTGCACAGGAGGTCCCCGAAGTTCCAGGGCCGGTACTGCCAGAGGCGGAAGAGGTCCAGGGGCATGCAGAGGAAAATGAGCAGGTCGGAGAAGGCCATGCTGGACAGGTAGAAGTTGGTGGTGGTCCTCATGTCCCGGAACCGCGACACCACCAGCATGGTCATGAGGTTGCCGATGATCCCGATGACGAAGAGCAGGACGCAGGCGACGGTGATGCCGGTGAGCACGGGCACGGGGAACAGGTGCAGCGGGGGCTCGGCGCCCGTCCGGTTCTCCGCGCCGCGGCCGCCCGCGCTCCCCTCCCGCATGCTGGCGCCGCGGGCTGCGCATCCCCGCCCGGCGCTGCGCGGCCCGGCCCCGCACGGTGCCCGCTGCGCTCCCGGACAGGTGCGGGGCCGGGGGCGGGGAGCGACAGCCACGGACGGGCGGCCCCGCTCCGCCTCTCGGCGCTCCGCCGCTCCCCCCGGCCCGGGGCGGGCGGGCACTGCCGCGCGTCACAGGAGACGTGGGCACGGAGCGGCCCCGCCGCGACCCCGCTCCGCCCGAGCCCTCAAACTTTCTCCGGGAGCCGCGGAGCAGCCCGGGCTGGGTCCGCCCCCGCTCCCTGCCCCGCCGCCCGCCTGCTCGGGCAGGTGCGGTGCCGCTGTCCCCGCTCCCGATTTCCCCCCGGTGCCGTTCCCAGCTGTCGGTGCCGCTGTCCCCGCTCTCAGAAGCCCCCGGTGCTATCCCCGGTGCCGTTCCCCACTGTCCCCTCTCCCGGAGCGCCCCCGATGCTGTTCCCAGCTGTCGGTGCCGCTGTCCCCGCTCTCAGAGTCCCCCCGGTGCTATCCCCGGTGCTGTTCCCTCTCCCGGAGCCCCCCGGTGCTGTTCCCCGCTGTCCCTGGTCCCAGAGCCCCCCGGTGCTATCCCCGGTGCTGTTCCCCGCTGTCCCCGCTCTCAGAGCCCCCCCAGTGCCGTTCCCCGGTGCTGTTCCCCGCTGTCCCCGCTCTCAGAGCCCCCCCAGTGCCGTTCCCCGGTGCGGTGCTGCTGTCCCCGCTCCCAGAGCCCCCCCGGTGCTATCCCCGGTGCTGTTCCCCGCTGTCCCCGCTCTCAGAGCCCCCCCAGTGCCGTTCCCCGGTGCTGTTCCCCGCTGTCCCCGCTCCCAGAGCAGGGGTCCCTTCCCCTGTCCGGGCTCTGTCCCCGCTCAGGTGGCCCCGCGGCGCTCAGCCGGTCCCCCAGTGATGGGGGTGATCGCTCTCTCCTGGCTCTGTATCTTTGCTCTGCCCTTGGATCTTGGCAGGAGCCCGGCCGGGCTCCGGCTCAGTGAAGCTGCAGCAGTCACCCGCTCCTACATGATTTACCTGCAATTAAATTTCGATTCAGCGTGTCACTGCTGTCCTATGCTGTGCCCTTTGCAGGTGCAGGCAGAGCCGTGCTTCCCCAGCTGCAGACTCCTACTCACTGTACTGAAGGATAATGTTGTGCCCAAGAAATGAGATGTAAACAGAACAGGGTGAGATCAGGGGCAGTAAAGCAACTTCCCACACATCTGTACAGGGTGTATCTCTCCACCTTTCCAACTGTTCCCACAAATTGTAAGGGTGTGTGTGCTGCAGCACAATCTTTTCTCACTCCTGTCCATCTAGAAGGGCTGGATCTCTTGTACCCCATCTCTCAGGGGGCAGCCAGTGCTCTGAGCCCATTTTGGCTTAACCATAGAATCATGGAATGGTTTGGGTTGGAARGGACCTTAAAGCTCATCTCATTCCCACCTCCTGCCAGGGSCAGGGACACCTTCCACTGGYCCAGGCTGCTCCAAGCTCATCCAGCTCAGCAGGGAAGCAGGCTGATGCTGTTTCCCCAGGTGCACTCCACCACTGCCATTCCCATTTCACGGCTGCAGAGCTTTTATTGAAGGGTAGGTAGAGCACAAATGTGCTCTGCCTGTGCCTCTGAATGTGCCTGTTTTCTGTAATTTGTGCCTTGTGTAACCATGCAGGCATGAGCCCTAGTGCCTTGTCCACATCCTAATTTGGATGATGTATTTTTCCAGTTTAACTGGAATCGGAATTTTCGTTCCTGCTCATGAACTGTGAGACAGTTTTGTAGCAAGTTACTCAACAGTTGCTAAATTTTATGAGGGATGGCTGCACATTAATTGCAGTTGAGAAGGAGGAAGAGCCTAATGTACTTCTCACTTTGTCTRTTCAGCTGCCTGTATAGTTCTGTTATATGTTTCTGAATTAAAATAATGGGCTTTATGCCACTAAGATAGTTATTTCCTTTTAGAATTGTGTCCCCAATCGAATTTACATGACATTGCTTTATATTACRGAGGAGATGGCAACTGCCCCTGTGGTTAGGCTGCCAAATACTTTGCATTATTATAAGGAATTATGTCACTCTTTTTTTAAATTTCTTTTCCCTAATAAATTCTCAGGCCAGTGGTGTTAGTTGCAGGATGATGATATTTGCCAGAGAAAATGCCCTGAAGCTATAAATGTGACTTTCTATGTAGAAAGGATCCTTCATTCTCATGAAATTCTTCCAGCTTTTGCTGACCTGTATCTTGTCAAAAGTGACCATTTCCCTTTCCCCAGGGAGAGAAAAGTGCTTTATTTTTTTTTTTTCCCCAGGAGAATAATTTATTCCTTTTTAAAATAGTAACTGAATTGTGTTGTGTGTTTCAAATCAGGTATCCAGCAGTGAGTTAGCACCGGATCTGTGCACTCCAGACAACTTGAGCTCACAATRCAATGACTTAACACTTAATTCCTTGGGATTTTGATGCTCTGAGTGATGACCCAATTGGATGAGAACTGGCAGTTGTGCTTCAAATCCAGCAGCATTGATCTCCTTCTTTAAAAGGTATCATGAGTCAAGGGCTCCTCTGGCTGCTTTTCCTGCATGGGGTTGGGGCAAGGCCAGAAAAAAATACCAGTTGAGAGAGAAGAAAAGCAGATTAAATTTTCTGATTCCTTCTGACTTCTTTGGCAATTGAAGGCCARATTTTGATGGAATGTAAGGATTTGTCAACCCACAAACACTGCACAATAATGGATTCCTGCCTCTGCTTTGCATGTGCTAAAGGACTGTGGTGCAGGTGGTGACAGAAGATGTAAGAGCTGTRAAAAAAGATGGGTTTAGGCTCCTCAAAGTTATCTACCAGCCCTCAGCTGCACAAACATTAGTTGTATATTGCCAACAAGACATGAATGAAGTCATTGCTCTTATTGCAATGAGAGAAATGGAGAAAAAGGGGCTAAAGTTAAGTGCTTTTTATTCAGTTCTATCCACTAGCCAGATGTATGAACCAACCAGATATTAAAGAGATAATTAACAAAAACCCACATTATACTGGACATTTACCTTTCATGGAACTCTAAAAATATTAGTGTTTCTCTTCAGTGTCTTCAAAACTGTGCTGAGCCCTGGAGATGAGGTAGAAGAATTTCTGTTTGCAGGGTTTTGAGGTCTTTCTCCTATGTTCTATCCTTTCCATTTCCTTCTCATCCAGGAAAGTTTGAATTCTTGTTTATAGCATTGTTTGTTGTCATGGAAATACCTGAAGGCTTTGAATATAGAATGATTATGTGTTTATTGTGGAGAGAAGAAGAAACTGAAAAACAGACCTCAAGGTAGAGATTCATTTTAAAAATGATACACCTCCAACAACTCAGAGGAAAGCAGATTCAGGGGTTTTTGTTATATCCAGGGACAGAAGGTGTTTTGACTGCTGTTGTAAATGTGGTTTAGGGCAGAAGGTAGCACCTGGTGTTTGCTTTCAAAGGTTATGGTTTAGCAGCTCTCCTCACTGAGGAGTGCTGATGGAATAGTGATATCCAGCTTAATAATGTAAAACCCAGAATGGGCTCCAATTACTTCAGTTGTTTGTAYGGCTGAAATATCTGCAAGCAGACCTCAAAACACTGCTAGTTTATTAATCAGCAAAGCTGTGCTCTGAGGTCACTAATCGAGAGGAAGGTGGTTTTCACTCAGCTTTTGGCCGTGTGTCAGCTCACTGTGTCACTGGGTCACGCCTGGCATCGTGTCCCCTTGCCTCAGGCTCATTCCCCAGTGCGGGGAGAATGTGATCCATTGGTGTGGGGATTCCATGGGCAGGGACTCCTTCCACCATCCCAGGCTGCTCCAAGCCCTGTCCAACCTGGCCTTGGACACTTCCAGRGATGGAGCAGCCACAGCTGCTSTGGGCACTCTGTACCAGGGCCCCACCACCCTCAGAAGGAAGAATTCCTTCCCAATATCCCATCTCATCCYGCCCTCTGGCAGTGTGAGTCCATTACCCTTTGTCCTGTCATTCTGTGTCTTTGTGGAAAGTCCCTTTCCAGCTCTTTTRGAACCCCTTTAGGTCCTAGAAGATGCTATAAGGTCTTCCAGAGCCTTCTCCAGCTGAACAAATACCTTCTGTCGCTGTTTAGTAATGGGTAAAGATCAGATATTTTGCTACTAAGAAAGAATTCCCAGTGCTTAAATAATTGCTAAAGCCCAGAAACATGTGAAATACCTCAAGGGAAATGCTCAGAGTGTTGTCCTCTGGTCACAAGATCATTTTCAAGGATTTCTTCAGCCCAATGCTTCCAGATGCTGTTCACCAACTGGGGTCTGGAAGCAGTTATATGGGATTACACAATATGGCATTGCTCAATTTGCATTTTGTCCTCAGCATTGCAAGCACTCGTGGCATTTAGTGGATTATATCTGATACCAATCAATGTCAGGGAAACTAYTGAAGACAGGATTGTTATGGAAGCCATAGGATGACACCAGTAATCACTGCGAGACTAAATAACTATTTAGTAAAAAYGTTTTATATAAAAGGCATGTAGAAAAATTTACAATATTCACATATTAATGCAACCTACAAAAATTTGCTACATATGTCATTCAGCATAAAGTGAGATGAAGTGTGTGAGTCAGGACACAGCGCAAACAGAACTTGCTGTATTTTTCCATTCTTCTTCTAAAGGTGTCCTGCCTGATATCCCTTGATAATCTTTCCCCAAGATAATATCTGGCAAAGATGCCTTCAGATCACACAGAATTTTTTTTTTGGTGTGATTCCTGTTGCAATATGCTCTGCATGCAGAGACCAAACATGAAACCAAGGGTCAGTCCCGCGCTGAAAGCACAAAGCCCAGTCCATTTGCAAGGAAAACCTACAGAAGTAATTTCTCCAAGATAACAAACGTACAGGGTGTGTAGGGAATGGCTCTGTTCTTCAGCATTTCTGGCAGGGAGAAAATTTCTCAGTTAAATACTGAAATCAGAAAGAAAACTGTAGAAATGTTTTCTGTTCTCTGTCAAAACAGATGTTTTGAGAAGGAGGAAAACCAAAGTGTTCCAGTAAATGGTGAAGAATTTCACATATTTGATTGCCACTGAAAACTGTGTGTGACAGTGTTAGAGCAGCAGGCAGAAGTTAAAACTCATTATTTTCAGCTCACACCGGTGTGTTTCTTTGTCTAACCTGCCAAAAGAAGGGTACTCCAGAAATTCTTCCCTTGCAGCTCCAACACAGGTATTTCAGTGAGCTGACATACCTGCTTGTCTGAATGGCCAGATAAACACAGGGGCTCATGTCTATCATTCCTTTTGTGGCTGGGTAGGAAGATGAACAGTGCCTGTTTATTGTGAGGCCCATGTGCAGGGGCTGCTCACTGATTTAATTACCTCAACAAGCAGGTGAATGGGAGGGTTCCCACGGCAACCCCAGAGTATTCAAAAAATAAATGGTCAGACTTTCTCCTGCCATCATTCTGTTGATGTAAAGTGACATTTGCAGAGCTGTCTTCCTTTCCCTCCAATTTTTTTTTCCACTTTCACCTTTCCCACTGTTTYCTCTGAATCTGGGCAAAATGCATTCATGGTGCAATTTGCTATTCCTCCACTGGCAATGCTACACATATGCTGATTTACACCACCTGACTTTTGATATGCATTGAGCCTGTACAGCTTAGACAAATCTTTCCAATACAAAATAGTCCTTTTTGTAGAGTTAAAAAATATACTGTTCATTTTGGTAAAAAAAAAAGGTATTTTACAAAAAAAATAATCATGAAAATTTCCCGCCCATCCCTAAAAATAAAATYGAGTAATTACAGCATTACCTAAATAAGCAGCATTTTTGTAAGTACAGATAGTTGTGCCTGTTTTCCTTAAAATGTTAGTCATTGGGGTGTGTTATTCTACATTACATCCTACCAAACATAGACCAGTACAAATAAACATGGAAGAATCTTGTCATGCCTAAATTGTTGCAAATTTCTCACAGAATTCAGTATTTACAGAAAACCTTTTTTTTTTTTTTTTTCTGGATCAAGCTCTTGTTGTCAACAAGTGTAACAGCAACTGCATTACTGAACTTATTGGGAGCCTGGTGAGATGTCTGCAGCACAATAATTAAGTAAATAGGCACGGATATAAAATGTTGATCAAAACACAGATTGATTTCAAAAGCTCTTCAGTGCCATTCCAGCAGCTGTCCTTATGTACAATATCCTGAACGAGACAAATGTGTTTACTCAAGACAYGATCCTGGAGAATGCTTAAGCACATACTTAATTTCAAGCTTGTGGATACCCTGATGCAGTCAGACTGTTTGTGTGCTTAAAATTAATTAGGTGCTTAAGTGCTTTGTTAGAGAAGACGGAGACGTGCAGCTTCTGTAAAACTCCCACTCAAAAAACTTTCGGAGAAATTCCACGGGTGCTTGGGGAACAGTTTGTACAAAGGCTCCTTACAGGRGCTGAGATATTCAAGACAGGGTCCCCTTGGAGACCACAAATAAAATTTGATGTCCAGTCTCAGCCTTGAGTAACCAGACTTGGAGCATATGGCATCCCTYGTGCCACAGCTGAGCCGGCCTGGAGCATCTGTGCTGCTGGGGAGTGCTCACCTGCCCGGGGTTCTGGCCAAAGGTGTCACCCGTGGGGTGTGAGTCCCTCACACCACTCCAGCCTGGCTGTCTGTGCCTGCACAGAGCATTGCCATCCCCAGCCAGCTGCTGCTGCTCATCCTGGATGCTGGGACACGACTYGGCATGGTTGGACCTCGTGGTGAGTGAGCTGAGAACAGGGAGTCTGCTCCTGTTGATATTGATACAGCTTTTGCTTAATATCCCCTATTTTACAGGGATTTAAGCTGGCCCTGTCCAGAAAAACTGGGCCACTTGGGATTGTGATTTTCATGTTCTAACCGATCATAAAAGCTCCAAAAAAACTTGCTTCTTTGTCCATGTCAACTATGTCACTGTTGCTGACAGAGACAAAAATCCTGTCCTCTCTCTTCAGCTGAAACACACCGCCTTGATAGATGGAATAAAGTCCATATTCTGCCTTTTTAGACCAGCAGCTTGTTCTTGCACTTTTCATGAGCAAAATGGGCTCAGGGTAATTAGTCAGTTTGTAAACATACTGCACGAGCTGTTTGGGGTTCCTGATTTGTCCCAGCAAATCTGAGTCCTCGTTCTCGTTCTCACGGAAGCGGAAGTAAATCTGTGAGTAGATGTAATAAAAGCCCGACTGGGGGATCACCAACTCGCCATTTCTCAGCTCCACGTTGTAAAGGAAAGAGTGGCCTTTCCTTGAGGATTCCCAGTTGTTTATTTTGTGTCCAATCCCTCTTCTGGGCAAGGGATTTACTTGGGAAAAAAAAAAAAGAGGGAGAAATGTTAACTTAAAAAGCAGGTAGTGAAGCCAGTGTCTGCTAGCTGRGGAGCCTGGTGTTTAATAACAAAGTAAGGAAACCTGCACTTCCCAGCAGTTCATAAGTAATTTTTTTTTTATGGTCCATAAGTARGCTTTGTGTGTGAATTAACATGAACTGCCTTCATTTTTAATTTTTGGGCTCCCAAGTAAGAGAAAAAACCCATGCTCTTAGTAACAAAATATCTGTTAGTGCCTGATACCCTCTGAAGCTGCATAAACCAAGCCCTTCSTTAGCAAGGCCTGAATGTCAAACCCCCTGTCTGTCTCACATTTCTAATAGGTCTGTCACCATAGCAGCTGGGGCTCACACAACCGACAGGAGGAAATGAAAGAGGAAAACTTAACACTAGGAAGAAGGGCATTGACATTTTTTTCTTCCTCTAATGAAGGTTCCAAAGGAAGAGTTAGGGAGGTACCCCGAGGAAATGGGCTTTCTCCCTTTTTGGTGAGAATTAACGGGAAAAAAACAATGTCTGGGACAAGATGACTCGTTTCCTACTACTAACTCAGTACAAGTATTAAAAATTGTATGTAATCGTGAGACTGGCAATGAGAGAGTAATTTCTGTGGTGTTTCACTGCTGTTGAAGGTTTGTCCTTACTGCGTGAGGCCAGGGAGCTCCTCCTGCTGCTGCTGCCCGTCAGATGCGCCGCGATCCTGCGCGCGGGACTCCGCGGCTGCTGCTCCTCCGAGTGCGGCAGCGTCAGAGTTCTCTGAACTGAGGGGAGGCCACAAAAGAAACCCCACATCAGAGGGAAGAAGATTGCAAAGCACATCTCTTCTATCTGGTTTAAGGAATAGGTATGTCATTTTTTAATTGACTGAATCACAGACTGATGCTATGTGTTGTTTAATAAGGCTCAAATTCCACTTTTACTCTCACTCTTGAAATCTCTTTATCAGCCTCTTTCTTCTTTTTCTCCTCCCTCTGCTTTTGAGTTACCAACAGACAAAATAACCCATAGTACTCAATTCAATGGTTAAATATTCCCAATCTTCCCTGTGAATTTCCACCTGGAGATTGCAATGCTTTTGCCCATCTTTAGTGGGAGCATCAGCAGAGTTACTCCTTAACTGATCTCTGCAGCTCTGTGCTGCTTGTTCCAGGAGCTGGGATGCTGGGAGGGCTTTTAAATGTCCCAAGTAACACCATGGGACTGAGATCTAGGGGCTGAGTCCTCTGCATCCACTTCGGTTACTTCACTCTAACCACTTGACCATATTTCTGGCTCCTGAAAATTTACCTCCTAGTAACCAGTAATAATTTTGCAAAATGACTTGGTGCCAGTACAAGATCTTAATCAGTTTTCTGCACTTTTAAAAAATCAAGTCACTACACATCAAGAGCTACTAGCAGCTCCTTTTTGCCACAGATAATAGAATCATTACAATACCATTGATTGCAGATATGTTTTCCTCGTAGCTTCTTGACATCATCTGCCAACAAACACAGAGAAAATGAATTAGCTTGTCAGCTGGGGCTGACAGACACAGGAGAAAGACACACCTTTTTTTACCCATGAATAAAATGGATTCTGGATTTGATCAACAAGCATGCAGAAAAAAAACCCCACCTATTAGTTTGTTGTAATAAAGAATTTCTAAGGGTGTATTTTTTAGGTAATGAAAGACAGCRGAAAACATTTTCAAGAACTAAGGGSTAAGTCTATTGAAAAATCTGACGCTCATGCTTTTTTTGAATAAAAGTGTCCAAGCACCAGCTTGCATTTGCAGAATACTTGGGGGTGTGAACTATAGGGTCTTAGATCTGAGAAATTAAATGTAATTTATTTTTATACCTCTATCTRTCTATGCTCTTAAAACAGTGTATTTTAGTTTGTGCATTCCCCTTCTTCATAACTGTTTGTTGACTGCTGAAACAAATCAGTATGGACAGTGGTACAGTAGCAGAAAATGTGGTGATGGTTTGAGATTATTTACCTGAGTAATTTAGGCCTGTATTGCCATTTATTGATGAGTTTTATCCTGTCACTTTTCTATTTATCCATCTATCTTATTATTAGTAGTAATAGTAGTATCATTWCCATAATTGTAATTTATTTCTTGCACCCAGGCTACCTTTTTTTTAAAGCAATTAGGGAGCTGGCAGGTATATTAGATGTTTAAACATCCACCAAATAAAACAACATTTTCTCTATGCAGAAGTTCAGGGACTTCACTGGCAGAATTTCCACCAAGCTGAGATCTTTGAGCAGAGAATCTGTTTTGGACTGCAAAATCTGTTTTTGCCAGGAAATTCCTGCCAGAAGTGAATTTTTATGGATGARCTTGTTTATGTGCTGGAGATGGGATTTTGTAAACCATTCCAGAAGATTTTAGCCTTTCTGATGTTGGAGCCASCCTGACTTTGTTCTCTGCAGCCCARATTGTGTGTGTTGTGTATCAGTCATGCAGGTATGACTGATACAGGGTGCTCTCAGGAAGGTGCTGTGCCCGATGCTGTGAGCTCACTCGCTCTTTCCTCCCTCACTCCATCACACAGCTCATGACTGCACCACTCCTTAGACACCTTTTCACCTCTCCCTGTGTTAGGTTTCATCTCATTTTCTCTTCCCTGTATTCCCAAAGAGGCATTGACAGCTCTGATAGCACCACGATCTGGATGGTCGGGTAGAAACAGTTCACCCTGAGGTATTTCAGACAAGCCAACCCATCACAGGAATCTGCTTAGTAAAAGCTGATTRTCTTTGCTTTATTATTTCCTGATTGCACTGAAACCATTTACGAGTTGGTTGTTTTTTTTTTTCTTCAGTGCAAGCTCTCTGCAGCTGGAGCTGTGGCCTGACAACTGCTCTGCAATAAAACAACCCCAGCCTCCTTTACTCTACTATTGAGATTTTTTCAGCTGTAACATCCCCAAGCACRCTGTTCCCAAATACCTTTTTAATTAACTTTCCCAGGTGCCACTTTACTTGCCAGCAGGGATCAGCTTCTCTGTCTTCACTTTCAATGAGATCCAAGTTCTCGATGGAATTTCCGATCTCCTCCCCRGTGAGACAAGCGATGCCGCTCTTGGAGTACGAGTCCTGGAGCTGCAGCAGAGGGGAGAGCAAGGAGTTTTCACCCATGATGTGTTTGCAGCTGTGGTATGTCATTGTATTTACTTTGCTAAGGAACAAACTTGCTTTTCTCTAAAGCATTTGTTAATATGGTGCAAGTAGGATCTTATGAGCAACATGAGGAACTCATCCTGATCCGATATATTTAAATATGAGGCACATGTCACAAGCAAAAATATGCTTGCATTGTCTGCAGGGACATAAATTTGGTATCAACTTAATAGGTTTTGTGAAAACTCAACAYCCAAACCCCTAATGTTGTAAATTCTTTAGTTCCTCTAGTTCRGCATTAAAAACATTTCTTTTGCACAAGGGTTTGGGGTTTTTTGTTTGTTTGGGTTTTTGAAATAATTTATCGAGGATGAAGTCAAATACTAGAACTTAAAAAGTATTTTCTCTGCTCTCTTTTCAGCCAATGTCATTTATAATCCAGACCTTTTAATTATTTTATATTATATATTATTCTATATATTCTATATATTACAGATAAATGTACAAATATATATTATATATGGATACTATTCTGTATATTATGTATTATATATTCTATTATTATATATCCAGTCTGGGGTCTCTGCTAACAGCATTTGTCCTAACAGTCCAGACAACTGAAATGACATTTGAGTCCAAATAAAATCATAATGCTAGATGTTTTTGACATGAACCTCTGTCTATACCGTCTAATCATAGAGAAAACACTTTTTGTTTGCTGAGATTGAAAAGATTGGCAAAACTCCTTTTGGCTCCAAAGGAATGTGGCTGGGATTTGATATCCTGGAGGAAAGCTCTCTCCCAGCTCCCCGCGGATGTGACACACACGACTCCAGCTGGCGCTGTTGGTTAATGTGGGAACCTGAGAGCAGCCCCTGTTTGATTTGAACTGAGCTCCTGCTGCATCAGCCAAACACCGGCAAGGCTTGTTGAGCCAGCAAAGCACCCCGGGAACTTGGAGGAAACAACGAGAAACATGCAAAGCATTCAGATGGAAGTCTGGTAGCAACTTTTAAGTTTCACTTTTYTTGTTGTGTTAAAGAAGTTTGGGTCGGTTTGCTAAACAGATGTATTCTTTTCCCTACAAATACCAGTTTTAGCTGTCCTTSAGACTGGGGTATTGAAGGCAACAAATGGCTTTCCTCCTTCACACTTCATGCTTTTCCTGGCTGTTAGAAAACAGAGGCGTTTAGGAAGAGATTTCCTGCTCCAGGGGGAGGAAATTTCACCTCCTTCAAGTCCCACGTTCAGTCTGCAGGAGCAGACTCCACTGAGCTTCAGCTAATATTTGAAATTACGTATTTTGAAGGCAGCAGAAGAAAAAGCGGCTCCCACTATGAGTGTTTGTGAAGGTTTCTGTGTCTTTGCCAAGGAGTACAGTGATATTTTTAAATCAGATTTCAAGAACTCGGAGTGATTAATATTATATGCTCACTGAGGTAAAACTACACTTAAAACTACAGGCTCTGACAGATTTAACTATACAATGAGCTTCTATAACAAAGCAGTTTGACGAGTTTAAGAAAAAAAAAAGCCAAACACAGGCAAGTTGTGAGGTTACTGTTTATTAACTTGCAGACCTGTTACAGCTCAGCTCCCAGCTTTGCCCTCCCATCTGGAAGCAAACAGTCCTGTGCCTCCGCCTCCACCTCACCTGCTCACTTCTCCCCAAAACACCTTTACTCTCCTGGCACTGGAACAGTATTTTGTATACAGTTTGAAACACTCAGGGAAGGCAACCTTGCAGCAGCACATTATGGTACTGAAGGACTGGAGTTTCTCTTGTAAGATTTACTCAAATGAGGTTTATCTGCAGCGCTGAAACCTCTGAGGATATAACTCCTGTAGGAATCTTATCTTGTAAAGTCTCTCTCCTGTGTTAGGAGTGGTTAGTGGACTGTTTTTGAAACAGAAGGAAAACTGAGGATGTTGTCCTTGCAGCCCTGTATCCTGAAGCATAAGAGCTTTATTGTCTCAGTACTTCCTCTTAAAGCAAAACAGTTAAACAAATGTCCTGCTCCTAGTCCTGTTCAGATTGCTACAGCTAGAATGGAAAAACCCTACTAGTTACCATGCTTTTCATAAAGACAGAAATACCTGCAGCCTGTGCAGCACAGTAATTCGGTGAAGGTGTAGAAATGCAGGTGTTGTGAACATCAAAGGGAAGAAAARCATGCGGACAGAGATCAGAGTTTACCTACAGAGCTTGATTCCACATGCACCATGTGGATGTGGGGCTGTTTCCAGAGGAGGCTTTTCCTGTTTATTGTGCACCAAACGGCACATGCAGGAATATGTGGTTAAGGCACCCCCTCCAGAGCCAGCAACCTTTGTTTGTAGCCCAGGACAACTTCAGTTTGGACAGAATCATCCCTTCACACCAAATGCAGGCTTGTTATTCCTCAGAAAAAATGAGCCGTGTTTTGGGCAAGTACCCTGGGATGTGGTTGTGTCCCAGGTGTAYGTGTGTTTGAATACAAGGAAGGAAAAGATAAGTGTGGTTACTAATTACTTARACTGGCAAGTTTGTTAGCAAGGGACTCTGAACTGTGTGCATGAAGAAATGAGGATGCCTTTATATATTTTTCTTCACTAGAAACCATATAACCTGATTTCACAAAGTCAGCACATTTCTGTGACTCCCCCACTTGACAGCCACACCTATAAATTCAGCAAGAAAATGTTTAATACATTTTGGAAGTATGAGCACTGCCTCCTGTTGCAGAACACTGCACACCCTTTGCCTCACAGAGAACTCTGACATCTCAGAAGACTCCACTGGCTCAATCTAATGTGGAATAAATGAATATATGGCATAATATGCATATACACATTATTAATAACCATATATTTAATTGCGCATTATTGAATGCATATATTCAATAGWAATTTACATTTTTGCAGTACTTTCTGAGGTTGTAGATGTACAGAACACTTACTTGCAGTTAGGTTTGCCTGTGTGCCAGGAAGAGAAACATACACAACTTAGAGCAGGACAGTAAGTCAGTCTGGGATAATACATTCATGGAAACCCTGAGAATTAACAGGTTCCATGACAAGCAAGGGACATGACACATGGAACTATCAACTAAATGCAACTTTCTCGGTGTGTAAGTTATCTTTTGCAAGAAGAGGCAAGAGTTAAGCAGCTGGCAGGCCTGAAGGGTGGCTGCAGGGAGACCAGAGCATCTAGACTATACAACGGGAATTTTACAAGCAATTGGGGGGAATTCTGTGCTGTTTGCCGTCTGGTGCAGTTCCTTTAGGATTAGTCACAGTCTCAAAACCATGTATTGTTCTACAGTAAGCATCTAAAAGGCAGCTCAGCTGTCCTCAGTCCTTCTCGCGGTGACTGGAGTGTCCAGCTGACAGAGCCCGTTCCACCCAGCCCTCCCGCACCGCAAAAAGTGATGAGACGGCGAATTTGCGCTCTAATGCGAAACACATTTGCTGCAAAAGCGCATAACTTTGGTTTTTTTTCGAATCAGGCACTTTGTAGCTGCCCCGGCTTTGAACTCCGCTCGCCGCGCACACCCACGGCCCGGCTGCGCTGCGGAGACAAAGGCGAGCGGAGCTC